CTAACAATGACACACAATCAACGCACGTGCATTATTGGAGTGAGTTTCCAGTGTAGGTAAAAACGTTTTTATAAGTTAATTGAATTGTAACATTTTTTTCAAAACTAACTTCCGAATGTTCACATTAAAATGCTGTATTGAGACATACCCAGAGAGTTAATTCACTGTTGCTTTGTTTTTTAAAACATGATCTGTAAAAATATTTACAGAACAAGACTAAAACACGTAAGTTTTCCACACTGAACACTACTTCAAAACTTAAGGCATAAATGCATGCTACCGAGAGGTGTCCCTTAGTGCATAGTCACAGAGAGTTTACCGTTATCCTTATTATAGAGATTATAGCATTCTTGGCAGGTGACGCAAAATTACCAAATTCAAACGGTCATAAAACATTACCGAGTTCAAACGATTTTGAAACGATTACCCTGATGCAGTGTTGATCAGGTATTAGGGTATTGAAGCTTTCGTTAAGGATTTCTGCTCGGAAACGTTTTCATAATAACTCATTGCTATATTTGTATTTATTTACTATATTGCAACGTTTATAAAACTTTAGTAGAGAGAATGTCTTAGTTCCGATCAGAAACAAAGCCAAATGGGAGAGTTTTCCCTGAAACCATTCCTAGGTAGACACCAGGTAGAGTAGCAGGTAGACACCAGGTAGAGTGTCAGGTAGACACCAGGTAGAGTGGCAGGTAGTCACCAGGTAGAGTGGCAGGTAGACACCAAGTAGAGTGGCAGGTAAACACCAGGTACAATGGCATGTAAATACCGGGCAGAATGGCAGGTAGACTCCACATAAAGTAGCAAATGTTGATCATACCTCCACAGATTTGTGGACATTGGCGGTGTGCTGATCTCTTACTGTACATGATAGTTACACTGAGGGAACAAAAGATAACTTTGTTTTCCTGTTATATTCCATCGTATTGAATGGGCTACATGCGTTAAGCAATGAAATCTGGGATATTTCACTAGATACGTGAACATATCGTCAAGTATTCCGCTGTAGGTTGAGTAACTACGAGACTTTCAGAGGTTTCGTTCCAGGAGAGCTGGAGACACTGTTACGAAGGAGTTATCACGGAGAGAGGGAAGGAGGGAGGAGAAAGGGAGTGGATGGGGAATGAGAGGATTTGATTCAAGACTTAGTAAAGAAGGGATGGAAGAACAACACATGGGAAAGAGAGACAGAGAGAGAGTACAGAATGAGACGACCACTAACTTAACCAGCTTCGTTAGCTTCCCATCCAGGTGACCACAGCTGTTTGGTGTCGCGACCTCGTCTCTGTCTGTCTTCTGTCTTTCTGTCCGTCTGTTTGTATCTGTCTGTGTGTCTGTGTCTGTCTGTCTGTCTGTCTGTCTCTCTCTCTCTCTCTCTCTCTCTCTCTCTCTCTCTCTCTCTCTCTCTCTCTCTCTCTCTCTCTCTCTCTCTCTCTCTCTCTCTCTCTTCTCTCTCTCTCTCTCTCTTTCTCTTTCACACAGGGTTTGACAAGGTTAGGTTAAGGATCCCTAGCCTTATTGACAAGCTATTTACAGGTTAGGGATTCCTAACTTTATTGACAAACTGAGAGCTGTTACCTACACCAGCTCATTTGAAAGTATTTTTATTGTTATGAAACAAGTATTTTTATTGTTATGAAACATACAAGTAGGGAACAGGATGAAGTTGGAGCCATCTGTGGGTCAGCATTTTCATTTGATCAACTCTCTCTCTCTCTCTCTCTCTCTCTCTCTCTCTCTCTCTCTCTCTCTCTCTCTCTCTCTCCTTCATCTATGAGAAGAAAGGGAATGAAGTTAATGACAGAAAGACCATGCAAGTTGCGGGAAAAAGTGATAACAAGTTGCAACTTTAAGAGGAGAGGTTGATGATTTAGGAGGCGAATACAAGTACACTCATGAGATGAATGACTCTCGTTTAAATCACATCTGGAGTTGTGAGTGGAAGTCTCCTCAGATGTGAGAACAATAGCGTACACAATGGGAAGAGAAACTTTTGTAGAGTTTATGTTTGTGAAACGAGAGCTTGTTGGGTGTTTTTCCCTCTTACTCACATGAGTGCTGATCTTTTCATGGTCTCCTTAACATGTAAGGTGATAAGTAATTCTCACAAATTTATCTTGCATTCAGTATGTATTTATCTTTATTGTGTTAATAATTTTTAATCCTGTGATTTTTTCTTTTCAATACTGAAAAAGTATTCCTATTTTTTCTGGCTTTTATTTGCAGTGGCAGAATTCCGTATTTTCCTGAACATTAAAACTGATTTTAATGCTTTAAGATACTGATGAAAGGTTGTGTTACAGGCTAAAAAAGAAAATAAGTATTGTTTGCAATCAACTGGTGTTAGTTTAATCATAATAGGCAAAAAAAAAAAAAGAAAAAAAAACTGCTGAAGTATCATTGAATGTGGATGAGTTATAAGTGGTTTGGAAAAACAGGATTATAAAGAAGCATAGTAAATTTGATTGAAATGCGTTAGAGTGAATGAGAGGTG